AGCACAAAGAAGTACTCCCTCTTCCTAGTTTTCTAAAAAAAACCCTCAGATGCCTCCCTGCACAAGGTGCTCAAGTACATACAGATATCCAAACTGGCACTGCAAATGGCTGACTCAAAAAGCTGGTGCAAGGCCTCGTGCTGCAAAATCTAAAGCTGCCCTCCTGCCCTCACTTTGTTATTCATTTGCAGACATTTCTTTGGATGCTTAATAAAAGAAAAAATTAGCAATCTGTGCTCCAAATCCCTATGATGCCTATGTAAAAATACACAATGCCAATTAGTAAGTTGCTTGTCAGTTACATGTATATGTAATTATTGCTTTTTCTCTGTAGAAAAGTGTATTTAGGTCCGTTTGTCCTTTTGAACTAGTATGATTTAACTGAAGATTCGACAAAAGACCATAAATTAAGAGATAATACCAGATTATAGGATTAGAAGTGGATGTCCTTTGGGACATCTGAAGTATATAATTTAAGATACCTTCCCATAACTGGGACAGTATGTATTATATAGATATAGTTGTCATTGTGTTCCATTTCTACGATATGCATTTGGTTGAACCAGTAGACATTTTTTGTCTATTTTATACTCAGAATTTATAAAATTGCTTTGATTATTTTTTCTGTTTTTGAAATCTCGTGTGGCTGTTTTGAGTTGCTTAACAACAGAGAAAAAATAAAATATTCAAAATTATAGCATAATGAAAATGTATCTAATAGCTGTAATTTTATCAAACCAACTTAAAAACCTTTATGCTACAAGATATTTTATGTTACTACAAATCTTGTCTTTATTAGCCTCTTATGACTTTGTTTCTGGATATTTTATGCCCATCACAGACTGGAACAGAGGAAATATCCTATCTTCAATCAAGATTATCCAATGACATCAACACCATTAAGTGAACATCTTCCTATTAAAAACTGCCAATATCTAAAGAAATACTAACTAATGATCTTCACCTACTTGTCAAGTGGCAGTTCACATGGCTGCTTTGTTTCATACTAGTTGGATAACAAGTTCTGCCTATGCATTTCTGGTTCTTTCAAATAAATGTTGCCTTTGCAAAGGCAAATGTCTTTGAGATGTAGTGACTTGCCCGATACTGGAAAATGTCAAAGGTGTCAACACTTAAAATATTACTTTTATTTTCTACTTCATTCACTTGTGACTTTTACCAAAGATATGAAGGAGAGTGCTATGATGCTGTTGTTTCATTGATTTATTCAATTCTTTTATAAGGTAGAATGGTCTGTCAGAACTTCTTACTAAAAACACGAATTGAGTATGCCTGGCTTGGACATGTCTTTATCCTTTGTCAGGTATTGACTCTTCACTCACTGATACCAAGACCTAATGTATGTATTCAATCTGAGAAGTATTTTTTCTCTGAGTACAGTTACATTCACTTCAGCAGAAAAGCATTTCTTCTTTGAAGAAGAACTTCTTTAAAGCAGCCAGAATGTACCAATGAGTCCTTTTTTGTTGCATTTCTTGGTCTGTAATTTTGTTGTCCAGCTTCCATATTTGATAGTTTATAATAATTGTTGATTTATTCTGATAAATTTTGTCTTTGGCCCACAACAGTAAAAATGTACAGCAATTTTTGCTCTTTTACCATACGTTGATTTCTCTCAGCATTCAATGCTTGGTCAAATTCTTATCTGGTGCTCTTAGATAGTGTTTGACAAATTTGGCCCAATGAAAGCTCCCTCTTGTCTTCCTGTGCTTATTTCTTTCATTTTAAATTATTCCTGTTCTATTTTTACATGCCCTGAGCATCTGAATGAGGAAAATAGGGTGATTTCAGCAAATATATAATTTCTATCTGCTTTCAGTGTGAGAAGAAACTGTCCTCCCACTAGTTGAATTGCACAGATACATTAATGAAATATTGTTTTAGCTACAGCAAAACAAAACAAAACAAAACAAAAAAAACAGTCAAAAAAAACAAGGATAAGATTTTGGCATGATGTTACTCAGAGGAGAACCAAGGAACAACCTCTTTCTTCATCTCTGCTATCACTCTATGTTGCCTAGCAATTCATGTTAGTTACATTATTTTCCATAACTCTTATAAAGAAAACAATGGAGGCAGGAAATAAACAATCCTATATTTGTAGGACTTAAAAAAAGAGAACCTGATCCTAGCATTTATGTCCAAAAAATAAAAACAAGTCACAGTCTCCTCATTTATCAAATTTTTCACTTCCAGGAGAAAAAAACGCAATGCACTAGGGAAAAACAAGTATTCCAACATATATATTGAAACTCTGAAACTGGAGTAAAACTCTGTGGCTGGAGATTTGATTTACCTTTTTCTCCACTCTTATTTAAGTGTAATATAAGCTATTTCTATCTGCTGAAAATTTAGAAAATATGCTGACATAATAGGTAGCATAGACTTGTTTCTGAAATACCTATTTATCTGGTTATCAGAGTAAGGAAAAACATACAGTATTCATTAGCAGTATAAAATAATGGCTTATACTTAGGCTATAACAAAAGATTTTTTTCAAAATACATGATTAAACCATGACAAAGCAACGGACAATATACAAAAGTGTCAGCATAGTTGCTGTAGCTGATAACATACATGTAATTTCAGGGTGTCAGAAATCAGGAGAAAAAACTTTCTTTAATTTAGACATCCTTTACCTCTAGCTCATAGTAACTAGCATTGAAATGGCTGCCAGAGAAAGAGATTTATTTATTTTTAAGTATAGAAACATGCAATTTCTGGCTCATTTCCTTCATTCCTGATTATTAATTTCATGCTGTGCTTTTGCCACTGAAGTCAGGAAACAAGAAGTAAAAATATAAAGAATGAAAATGTTGAGAACTGAAAAATGCTGGACATTTCTATGCTAATGTTTAATAAAGTGTGCGCATAAAAATGGAGGGGGAAAAAAACAACAACTTTTTTTGCTGTTACAGTAAAACATGAGAACTGTATTACCACTTGGCTGCTGCTGGGTTTTAATTTACTTCAGGAACACAAATGAAGATGGCTTTACTCAACACAGTTTAAAATACATTAGTATCTTCACATACACACTCTATTTTTGATGCTTGAAACACTGCAGTATCATGCTGCAGCCAGCAAGGTCTGGCTAATAACAATATAAGATAATAACAATTAAGATGAGGTTAAGAGGAGATAACAAGAGAACAATTAAGATGAGGTTTCAGTGTATGGTGACATTTTCAATGATTTCATATATCTGTGTATGTGTGTATAAGTAGTTCCTAACCTCTGATGCAGCTTCAGTTATACTTAACTGAGGCTTTCCTTCTTGTGTGTTCTTTCTGGTTCATGGTTAAGATGTTTCTGCCCACAGCTCCCTACAAGTGTCCTTTTTGGTAAAATTACTTCTTTTCAGCCAACAGAACACACCCAATAAACCAGTTAGTGTTACATGACCTAACAGCATTAGGCCCGTTTCTTTATTATGAGGTTAACTAGGGATTTTCACATGGTCACTTACAGAGCTCACATTTTTAGAGGTTTCAATGCTTCTCTCCTTCCAAACTTCTAGTTCTCATTTATGATCCAAGATAACATTTGTGAGCTTTCTTAACTGCAAACTTCTCATTTTAAACAGCTGTAAAATTACTGTCTCAGCAACTAATTTCTGTTACTGAACTTCTTGCTCATCCCTTATCTCTCCCTCTCTCTGATATATTGACTCTGTGGTCTTGTTGAGACTCAAGCTTGACAAAACTGACTGTAAACTCTTTTTCTCCCAGATGCTCTCATTTCCTCCCCCTTTGTCTACTTGTAAAGAAAACACCTCAATCCTTCCTACTCAAATATTTTTTTGACTTTTCCATATGTTTTTTTCCCAGCAAACTTGGGCCATTCCTTCTCATCTTCAGCAGATGCCAGGGTCACCCTCTCTTCTCCTTACTCTCTGCCAGGTTTCTGCCCCAGGCTGGTGTTACATCACACTGGGATTTCTGCCCAGTTTGCCCTTCTGGATTTTCTTATGCACACACCCCAAATACTATTTCTTGGGCTGTGTTTCTTATTTGCTGATGTGAACTCCCTGATTTCACTGTTTTGCTCAGCCGATCTCTCTCCATGGCCTCTCCAGTTCCCTATTTATTACAATTATTGATTTTGGCTTCTGTTAAGCACCTCAATAAGTCTGCAAATCCTTACTGTCCCCTGCTCATGTTCATCCTGATGCTTTCTTCCTTATGCCACCATACCTAGTCTTACCTCCTGGTTTCATAGCTTCAATTAAAACTTGTATTTGACTTTTATTATACAACACACTGTTAATTACTACTAATTCCAGAAAGTTCACACCCTGTACCCATTAATGTATTTTTAATCCCAGCCATACTCACAAGGAATCCAACAACTCTTTTCTTTCTGCTTTCAATAAAGAATATTTTTTCCACTAAACTCTCTCTGCTTTTCTACCCCTTGGCCACTGTTCCTTTTTTTCTTGGAAAGGACCTAACAGGTCATGGAGTAGCATGTAAACAGTACCATTATAAAGCAAAGAACACTTCTTTGAGGTAGTTCCAAACAAAACTATTATTTGGCCTCATTTAAAGGCCGCTCTTTTCACATGTTGAAGGTTCTCTGTAAACTGCAATACAAAAGGAATGACAGGAAATTGAACAGACATGCCCAAGGTACTGAACTCAGGGCCCCTGTTCATGCTACCTAAATCAAGTAATTACCTCGTATAGGTCTGAATCAGAGAACGGAGCTTTCACAGTAGAGTTTAAAGCATATTTCACATGCAAGATTTCACTCAGTGCATGTGACATGCAGAGCTGTCTGCTCCCTAAGAAAAGTGGGTTCATGCAGGACTATGTCAAGCTCATGGAGTGTTCTGAATTCCTCTGTGTTGAACTAAATCTGCCACTGGATTCAGATTCTCCTAGATTATTTAATGTAAACTCATACAGCTTTTTCAACAGTTAGAACTTCCCATTAATCTATTTCAAAACTTCAGGAGTTAGATTAAAATGAATTACCTTTTCTTGATATTGTCGTCGTGATGAATCCAGAGACTGAATGAGAGCAGTGGCATGACCAACAAACATGGCATAACAAGTTGCCCCCACGATCATACTCAACATGGTTATCCAGAGGTCGGACATGCTGACGGGGGCACGGGCTCCATAACCAATGCAGAGCATATGGCTCATGGCTTTGAAGAGTGCGTATGAGTACTGCTTTCCCCAGGAATCGTTCTGCAAGAAAGGAGACAAGTGACTGAGCCAGCAAGCAGCTGAGGGGGAAAATACCTTTGTACCTGTACAGTGGGATCATAGATTACTGACTCTGAAAGAGCAGGCTGATAATGTATTCTCTGTGAGTGAGAAGAGATATTCCTTCTAAATTAATTGTAAAATAAAGCGTCAGAGATTCTGCCAGATAATACTTAGCACAGTGAGATGGAATAAAATACACTATTGTATTCTTAAACATGCGTACTAACCTAATTACAAGGAGACTAAAGGTCAATTTTATTTTGCAGTCCCTGGCAGACAGATTAGAAAGAGCTGAGCATGCAGATGTATCAAGTGCAAGAAAGTAGCATTTTGTCTTAATATGCATGAATATACTCCTCCTAAATGGCCTCATTTAATTCTTTCTAGTTGTTAATTTGAACACACATCCATGTTTTATCAGCTGGTTCACCTTCCAAAGACAGAAAAAAAAGTGTCATTTGTTTTAATGTCTTGTGTTTTCTTGTAATATTATGTTTATACTGAAGCAGCTCAATTCTAAAGAGGTCTGTTTATTCTGCAATCATAGCAAATTCACATCCATAGCCAAGACCTACGAAACACAGCTAAAAATAAAAGGTGAATCCCTGAATCCTGCATTTCTGATGTGTAGCTACCATTTCCCATCTCTCTGGATGATTAGAAGGACCTGTCAGCTCACTCTCAAGCTTTTAAAATTGCAAAGGTGTTGTCAGCATCCTCCCTTCAGCTTCACATAGAGACAATGAAAGGGACTGTTGTTCCCAGAGAAAAGCAGACATGTTAACACATTCCAAAAAGACCTGGGACTCCTTGTCAGATTTTTCTGTTTTCCTTGCCAAAGGAATAAAACAAGAACAGGAAAACAAATTGTGCTTGGAGGCACACAGCGTACATCAGAAATCACAGTATTTACCACAAAGAACTGAGAATAATTTAAAAAATGAAGAAGTGTAGAAGGAAGAACTGGGATGACATTAGTAATATTAGGCAGTTATCCTGTGCCAGTGCCCAATATACAGGACCAAAAAACCATAATTTTGTTCAAATAAAGCTTGAAATCACCAGTAGTCTTTATATATAAATTTTACATATGAAATGTCAGTATTTGTGTCTCCTATTCATACAAGCTTTGCTCAAATTCTCTTGTTTCTCAAAGAGCTTTGGGCTTGCTCTCTTGCCATTTAAATGACAACGTTACCAACTATGCTTATGCTTTTCATTTATTAAAATGCTTTCTTCTAGACCACCTATAAATAACTGGTTCCAGGAAATAGGCTAACAATTCTTGGATTGCAGATGGAAAAGTTATTATTCATTCACTAATACAATAATTTACAAATTAATAGTTCCTCTGTAATTACACTTGTTTTGCTTTCTAAGTTAAAGCTTTTTCAATTTGTGAGCTGTTTCTTTCTTCAGAAGTGAAAATTTTGTCTTGTAAATACAGTTAAGGAGTAGGTTTTCAATGTCTGTATTCAGCAAAAAATAAATAAATATACATACAAAAAAACCCCTTAGACTGCTGGGAATCAGATAGGTTTCACTGAGTAGCGACGAAATAAGTTTCCTTTTGTTTTGAGGCTTTAAAAAATACTCAAATAATGAAAGAACTGAAGAAGCTTCCCTGAAAAAGCTCAAGTTCAGGATTCAAGTACCAAGATGGAGCCAAGAACTCCTTGCTGTCTGGGTCAGTGCAGGTATTTTAATGCAAGTTCCCTGTCTCTCAGGAAAGCAACTTTCTTTACAGTTGGACTTTCCTTCCAGACGGTATCAATCTCCTTTGTGTGGAAATAATTAATAAGGTCATTGTGAGAGACCCGTACCAAATTCTTTAGCAGTTGCAGCTTTATGTAGACTATACTGAGGAAAAAAAATAAACTCCTCTTGCTGGAAAAAATTAATCTGTTTTTTTTTAAGGCTACAATTAGCATTATTATTCAAGAGGTTCTAAGATCAAAACAGTTTTTTGCAGGGCTCCATACTGTGGATCTTGCTCCTAAGCTGTATTTTTAGCATAACTATTATAAATATTAAATAAAAATAAAAATTTATCTTGATATCACAAATTAATCTTTTCTATTATATCCTTGATGTGATATATCTCAATTAAAATTATTTTAGTAAAATGATATTTTTACATCAAAGTCTTTGAGTAAATCCAAATGTTAGTTGATTTACTTCTTGACTGAGATCCTTTCCAAGCCTGTCAATTTAAGCAAAATACCATTGTGCTTAAGAAAGCATAAGGAAATGGAAGTGAGGAGAAGCAAGAAGAAACAAAATACAAGGAGGGCTTTCTTCTAGGTATGTAACACGGTGAGTGAAAAATAAATTGAGTACTACTTGAGAAGTAGTACCATGCAGGAGTAAGAGAGCTATAATGACAGAAGACAAAAATCTAAAAAGGTATATCAGCATAACCAAATATATGTTTAACCACGTATGTACCTTTACATATATGTCAAAATAGGATCCAGCACCTCATCAGTTATGTTTGCAACTAAACCCAGAGTGGAGGTCAAGACCATCTTAAATGGCCATTTTGGAGTACAAGCAGCATTAGATACTATGTAGCTTGTGATAGACCTTATCACAGGTCAGGCTCATTTCAGACATTGGTGAGTGGATAGTCTCCAGAACCTGGTCCTCATGTGGGCAGAAAGCGTTTAACAGAAGGACAAAAAAATCTGGTGAAAAAATTTGACAAAACACGTGAGCTCAACTTGAATTTGTTTGAGTATTTTGTTGCTGAAAATACTTGCCAATTATTTTTTTGTTTCTTTTGCCTAATAATCAATCAGCTCTTGTAAAATCACTTACCTTTTTAGTTTGCATGGGCATTTTAAAAAAATAATACTAAAAAAATACCATTGTGGAGTGTACATGTTTCTGTAGTTACTTGCATTGCTCAATGATTTATCGCATATATAAATCCGTTAAAAAGAACATGGGTAATAATGTCAAATCCTATAAATCATGAAGGCCACTATCAATATTGATCTATGAAACAATAATAATTACTTAATTATTCTTCTAGCTGTGTTGTATAACCTAGGATTTAGGCAGGAGCAACTCTTAATTTTATTGTGAGAGCCTGGAATTTTCCACAACCCCATTCCAATGTGGTATTCTTTGCTGTATAGAGGTGAGGAGCGGCCATTTCTCTACAACTAGCCTACAGAGATGGTTTTTTTAATAGGAAGCATTTTTGCGCTGGCATCATAAAGAGATTTTTACATAACACATTTACAGATAATATCCCTGAGCTAATAAAAGCCTGTTCCATGAAATAAAAAATCCTGTGTTTACACAGTCAGCTGTTCTTTAATATAATTTTAAATATTAGTATTTCTATAAATACATGTCAAATGTTTTCCTAAATGGTCATATTCTGTTTTTAATGTATAGATTGCAAAAAAGAAAAACAAACAACACCTTACCCACAAGCTTCTAGGAGCTGAAAAGATCTCCTATCAATCAGTAAAAAAGGCATTTAATTTCCTAGTTGACAATGGGTTGATCACTCTTTTCAGATTAGTAGTAATCGGTTTAAAATGTTTTAAATGAAATGACATTAATTTGGGAAAACTATTAAAGACTGTAATTGTGAGAAATACCAAAGCTGTTTATACAAGGATTGATTACATAATCTAGCTTGATGACATTAGGAAATCCTCACATTTGTGAAAGCAATGATCACTGATCATTTGCAATTAGTTCTGTAACTACACTAACTTAGCAGTTATCCTGAAGAATACATTAATCATACGGCACTTCTGATTTTAAATGTCTATTTTCAAGCCTCTTCTTTCATTGCAGGATCCTGTGCTTTATCTTGTAACTTTGCTTGACCCTCCTAAAAATATCTTTTTGTAATATTAACTTTTCAGCTAATAAGAAATAAATTATGGAAAGACCAAATGACATCTTGTAATGCACACCAGTAAAAGGCAGGAAAAGAGAATTGAGTAAAAAATGTGCCTCAGTGTATTAAGAAGGGTTTCTCTTTTACTGGAATATATGCAGGTCTTCACCAGAAGATTTTATTGTTATCAAGCAAATCAATTCCACTCCCATATTGTAGTCATTCTTTCACGCACAGCTTATCTTCCCACAGCCATACACTTGCACTAAGATATAAACTGATTTAGAAATCTCCTAACAGACTATTGCAAATATAATAGTGGTTTTCACATTTTTTACTCAATTCCGTTTTCCTTTCACATCACAGTCATAGCATGTGTCATGAAAATGGTCCTCTATGCTTGCCAAGGGCATGCTTTAAAATCATTGTGCAAAGATTGATACAGGAATTAAGAAAAATGTCTAAAAGGATCTTGAATTCACAATCTGGATTCCCCCTTCAAAAACTGCAGTAGGAGAGGGGAAGTAGCCTGTCGCTACCGCAAAGAATTTGCCTTGTAATCAATCACACACCCATTCATGCCTATCACTGCCTCTAAGGTGTTCTGAAAGTAAGTGGTATCTGAAGAAGGGAAGATGGATACAAATCTTGATAGGATATAGATGGTTTCTGTCTATTCTAATAAACTAGAAAGTATCAGAAAGCGTTTCCAAGCTCTAGAACTTGGTTCTCATGGGTGCCCTCTTTGAAGGACCTCTGGCGTTGCACTGGTCACACAGCATTCTCCCATATCATTTAAGGAAAAACACCTGAATGAGTAAGCTCAGTGGAATAAGCAGATGTCTTCAGAAACTTCTCAGCATTTCTCTCTGCTGATTGATGCACATATAACACTGTGCAAATAACTCAACATATACTTTCAAGACCATTACTGGCAGAAAAATTTTCAGAAGTGTTTGGCATTGCATTCCACAGGAAAAGAAGTTTGACTGGAGAAGCAATGACTAAATAGAATAGATCACCTTTTCATGGTAAGGATGAATATTTTTACTTGTAGAATCAGTGTGGTAATTCATAAACAGCAACAGAAGAGGAGATATTTGGCTTATGCACA